AGAAGCAAGATTGTCTTAATTAATTTTCACTGGGTTTTGATCTTTCTGTATTCTGAAGGGTGCACTAATGAGTTGAGTGTTGATGAAAGGGTCTATTGGTGAATAAACATTTATTAAGTACCTACTATGTGCCGGGCATTCTGCTGAGTACTGGAACTACAAAGAGAGGTAAAATGTAGTCCCTGCTCTCAAGGAGCTTATATTGTAGTGAGGGAATAGAACAACTACAAGGAAGCTGTAGGTTGGGGAGAGGGAAAGTACGTGTCTGGGGGACATGATGGAGAGATCCAGAGGAGTGCAGCAGGATGGAAAATGAAAAGATGATTGGCCTGGGTGCCTTTTTTTTTTCTTTTGGCTAGGCAATGGGGTTAAGTAACCAGGGTCACACAGCTAGCAAGTGTCAAGAATCTGAGGCTGGATTTGAACTCAGGTCCCCCTGACTCCAGGGCCAGTACTCTATCTACTGTGCCACCAAGCTGCCCCCAAGAGTGCCCTCTTTCAAGGGACATTTTCAGGAGAGTTCTCCATTCTTCATTAGATACCAGAAGCAAAAGGTACTGATTAGATGTAAGTTCTAGGCCTGAAATAATCTTCCAGGATGAAGAGATTGGGCAGCAAGTGATTTTTCAGGATTAAGACTGGGCAGAAAGAAGGGTAAGGAAGAAAAGTTACCTTAAAGAAATGGGACAGATAGGGGCAGCTAGGTGGCACAGTAGATGAAGCTCTGGCCTTGGAGTCAGGAGGACCTGAGTTCAAATCCGACCTCAGACACTTGACACTTACTAGCTGTGTGGTCCTGGGCAAGTCACTTAACCCCAATTGTCTCACCAAAAAAAAAAAAGGGACAGATAGATTTACTTCAATTAAAAAATATATCGAGGGCTTCTATTAGTTGCAAAGTAATTCCTTCAGTGTATCTCACGTCTACAATACAGTTACAGTAATATCAAAACATTTATTTTATACACTAAGGTATACATAGTATTATAATGCTTTCTTGGAACCAGGGTCAAGATAATCTGCTGTTTTCAGTATGTTTTGAATTCAGATGGGGTGGAGAGAAGGGAGATTTGACTTAGATTTAAAAGAGTAGAATAGGAAGTGAAAAAGACCAAGTTAGGGGCAGCTAGGTGGCACAGTGGATAAAGACCAGAGTGCAGACAAGGAAAGTAATAACCACAGCTCTCTCCAGATCACACCCCCTTGGGAGCACCAAAAACTTGCAGAACTTCCAAAACATCTCTGGAAACAGCAGCCTGAAAAAGCCTGAAGCTTGGGGGAGCTAGGTGGCGCTGTGGATAGAGCTCTGGCCTTGAAGTCAGGAGGACCTGAGTTCAAATCCAGCCTCAGACCCATAATACTTCCTAGCTGTGTGATTCTGGGCAAGTCACTTAATCCCAACTGCCTCACAAAAAAAAAATAAGAAAGAAAGAAAGAAAGAAAGAAAGAAAGAAAGAAAGAAAGAAAGAAAGAAAGAAAGAAAGAAAGAAAGAAAGAAAGAAAGAAAAAAAAAGACCAAGTTAGCTCTACTAGGTGAAAAACTTGGATCAAATACAACTGAGTGTTGATTTAGTAAGCACACTCCATTAAAAAATGAGCCCACGTTAAATGTAAGAGGGAAAATATTAATCCCTGGATGTGCCCTATTTTTGCTGATTGCTATAGCCACTGTTATAAAAAAGTTATCACCCTCTCAAGAAATGATGGCTAAGAAGTTACTACCTGAGGACTGCATATTCCTTCAAGTGAAGATTTAGTGATTATGAGCTCCTTCATTCTTCATTTTATAAATCAGTTATTCATTTGCTTGTGGTTATACCTTCAAGTTCTTACAGCAACGACCCCCTAAAATAGGACATTTTCTTTCCCGTTGGTCTCTAGCATGGAGAAAGTTAGCAGTGATTTTAGGAAAAATTGTGCGTATAAGAAATTGTTAAGACATCAGAGGTTCATCATCAAAAAGTTATGATTTCAGAGATTGGACTTCTACTTTAAATTTGATGTAATAGAATCAAAACATCAAAAAATGAACTAAAGAGAAAAAGATGACCTTGTTATGCAGGCTGTGCTAACAGGTGGACGGTCATTGTTAATGGAAAAGCTAACACAAAGCACAGGCAGGTATGAAGTTATTTTCAACTAGGAATCAATCATTCCCTAATTCCTTCTTATTGTGTCTATCTTCTACAGTTTGGAGTGCAATGAGATAATTTACTGGTTGACTTTTAGTAAAAGGATGTATCTGAGGACTCAATCTTTAGATTCTCTCCTCACTTTCTTCTTGATAATTTGTAATTTCTTTTAGTCTCTCACTTCAATCATGCTTCATTGATTTTGCTTGCAATTTATGTATTTATCAGATTTAAGAAATCCAGTAGTTCAGAAAATAAATTGCTGCTTGTTCTGTTAGTATTGTTCAATCAAGCTTTTGTCTCCCGTGGCCATTGTTAGAGCTATCTCTACAGTATCCGAAATAAGGATGCCGGCCTTGGGCTCTGACTTTTTAGGGTTTCAGTGCTGTTGCTTCCTGCTAGTTGGGAGGCAGCTGGTGAAGGAGGGAGATGGTGACACCAGTGAGTGGTAACAGACCTCTGAGGCTTATTCAGATGGATGCAAATTGACCTACAAAAAACCCATCACTATCACTGAGGTAGAGAAGGCTCCCCGCACATCTCTCAGAGTAATGCCCTTTGTGACTTCTATTCCCTTCATGGCTGCCCTTGATACCACTTGCATCTGATTTCCTTTGCATAAACAGTTTGGTGAGAGAGAGAAGGGACAGGTTATATACATAGTGTGACTTGAGAAAGGCTCACACGTCTCTAGAGATGGTTCTGGGCCCTCATTTCCTTTGAGGAAGCTCATTTTGGGTCCCAATTATTGCCCTGCTGAGCTCTCCCAGTCCTTCATCTGTCCTTACTTACCCACAGAAATGAAATTCTTAGAAAAAACCTTTTACATATGGATCATAATTTATTTCCTAGCTTTCATATATAAAAATTGGGCTAGTAGCTTGCCTTCTAGAGGAAGTATGCCCTACAGTTGTTACTCCTGTTGTTTTAAACTGCTGCTTTTTAAAACTGCAATCGGAAACAAAAGTAGATGCCTATCTAGTACTGCCCATACACTACCATCTATGCTGGAGAATGGCTGAGAAATTTGTGGCAGATAAATGTAATGGAATATTAATGTGCTATAAGAAATAATCTTTATAATTAATATAGAGGTGCGTGAAAGTCTTATATGAACTAATGCAGAATGAAGTGGAGCCAAGACCATAATCTACAGAATGACTATAGTAATGGAAATGGAAAAACCAACAGAAAAATAGAAAAAGTGAATGTTGCAAAATTTCAAAGAACAAATATGATCTAAAAAAGAAATATAATATAACTCTTTCCCCAACTTCTTTGCAGAGATGGGAGCTCTGTGGATGTAAAATATTGTATATACTTTAAGATTTTTTAAAAGTACTGATTGGTTTTTCTAATTTAAAAAGAAGTTATTTGTGATATGGGATGATTTTCTGGGAGTGGGGAGAGGAAGGGACACAGGATAAAATTTTAGTGGTACAAAAAGATATTAAGACATATTCATTTAAGTAATAGTACTAGTGCTGACTTACTTGACTGAACCATTGAAACTTTTTCTAACTTGTTTATCCTAGTTAGCAACAATAGGCATTTGCCAAAGGTTGGCTAGGGCTGGGAATGGTCTTTGGCCATGGAAGATGCCTTCACTTATTTATCAAATATTTACTAAGTATTATGAACAGAATATTTTCAAAGGCACTAGACTGGATCGGGGAGTGAGATAGAATTTCTGGAGCTCCAAGGACCTTCAGGACTCATATAGAGACACATATAGGTAAATATAGTACCCAAAATAATATGATAAATGCCTGAGGACTGCCAAGGGTTATTGCCATTGGGGGCTAAATGGCAATAGAGACTCAGCAGAGGAACAAGTAAACGAATACATAGACATGAGAGACTGCTCAAAGCTTTGTGTCATTGAAATTGTGGCATCTGTATTGACTCCTGTCTCCAGATCAGTTCTGGAAAAGAATATTATAGTGATAGATGGACTAGAGAGGTATTAGTTTGTCTTGTACCCCAGGAATGACCAGTCAGGTAATCAATCAATAATCATTTACTAAATACCTATTGTAAAAATGTAGACCATCAAAGAATGATTTATATTTATGTGGGAGAGATGGGGCTAGACCCTTAAGGTAGATAAAGAAGGAGGTGACCTTTTCATATAAGTTTTTAAAGACACCTTAAAGTTATATAAAATGGTGACTCAGAGATGCTTTGGTCAAGGATGATTAATTCACATATGAACTATCTTATAAGATGCCAGTCACTTTTTATGACTACCACTGAAAATAAGTTCCATTTAGGTGTCCATCATGTCCATCAAGTAATGGGCTCATGTTGTCAAAATGTTAACCATTTCACAAAGATTCTGGAGTCAGTAGGAAAGCAGTACATGAGGAGGAGGAGGAGAAACCACGAGGTTGTATCCACCCCCATCAGACACCAACAAAGAAGAGGTGTCGAAACATGTGCCGAGTGAGATCTCTTTATTTTCAAATTTTTAGTGTCATTTGAACATGACACTCTTTAAAAAATAACCCACCTGGTAGCTCCTTTTAGAGACTCAGCTCTAGTTGACTCAGGCTTAGACTCACTCCCCAAAATAACTTGTCCTTGGAGTCGCTATTGTTTAGCATTTGAAGCTTGGGGGGGGGGCTGACTGTCCATTAAACTTTTCATTATTAGAAGCTGACATAATCACATTTTTCCTCAGCTTACCAACTGGATATTGCCTTGGGAAGGTTCTTTGTATGCAATTTAAAATGTATTTTCCACAACAGCTTCTTTGTGGAACACAGAAATTATTCCCCTCCACTCCTACCCCTAGCCTGTCCTGCTCCAATAGATCGTGACTCTTCTTAGCAGGGTGTAATTGACCCATTTATTGTTTCCTTTCAGTTTGTAGCAGACCCTTGTGCCAGCAACCCTTGTCTCCATGGCAACTGTAGCACCAGCGAGGATGGATACTTTTGCATTTGTGATGAAGGCTACTCAGGTATCAGCTGTGAGCAAGCATCTCCCAAGCTCCCTGTCTCCAGTTGGACAGAGTCCCCAGCTCCAAGGCAACTCCAGCCTGTCTCCTCAACACAAGAGCCTGAAGAAATCTTGCCCCCATCACAAGCAACTGTGACCCTTCCCACATGGCAGCCAAAAGAGGGTCAGAAAGTTGTAAATATGAAATGGGATGAAATAGAGGTGAGAATGAATGGTTTTTATATGGATTTTTTTCCCTACACTATAAGAGGCCAGGTATTCAAATGTATGGTCATTGATTTTTAACAGTAAAAATAGCCCTTCCAAGAAGACTGGAACTGAATTACAAGTTCAACTTGATTGCATTCAACTTTACATTATATATTGCTGTGTTACAGGAAATGACTTGTATATTATATGTGCTTGTACATGTGTATGTATGCAGCACAGAACATAGATGTAAATCATTTTCTCTAACCTAGCACGAGACACGTAAAGCTGAGTGGAATGAAGTTGAACTTATTATATGAATGTGCAGGTGTATACACGTGCACACATGCATGCATTGTATCTGTATATACACACATACACACAAATAGACACAGGTACATACAATAACATATGCACATACATGTATGCATCTATACATATGTATATTTGTATATTCACATACAACATGGATGCAAGTCGTTTCCTGTAACCCAGTAAGATATATGAAAAGCTGAGTTGAATCAAGTTGAACTTGCTATGTATTTGTGGGTACATGCATGTATGTACAATATAGCACAACAGTATATACACATATACACATGTATATATATGCACTGGCACACATATATGCACACACATCACATACTACGTGGATCTATACATACAAGTATATATGAACACATGCATGTATATATACATACATGCACATACAAATATATATATTTTGTGTGGATCTGTAATTTCAACTACTTTCCAGTGTCATTTCCCACAGTTGCAGATCAGCAACTTGTCTGTAATTTATAGTCTTACAGAATAGCCTGGGGGTGCTATGAGGTTACAGAGGCTTGCTCAGAATCACCCAACTCATAAGTGTCAAAGACAGAACTTGAACCCAGATCTTCCTGACTCCAAGGCCAAATCCCCTCATCTATTATGCCACACTACCTCTCTTGTTGTATGTATTATCCTACTTTGTAAGTAGAAAAAAGCAATGAAAAGGAAAAAAACAAAGCCCAGATACTATACAGTTTTGCAGGAGTGATTTGCTGATTAGACACTATTATAACAAAACCGTCTCAGGTTTCCATCTCTCAAGTGGGATTGCATTTGCATTCTGGATTAAATGGTAGATTTAGAAGGGCATGACTCAGTTTGTGGAATTTTCTAGAAGAAATGATAGTGGAATCTAACACTGTTCTCTGGAATCCCTCCAAAGGCTATTCTGTTTGGAGACTTTGTGATGATGGGCTTTGTTCATGTTACATCTATTTGCTTAGAGACAGCATGGAATAGTGGATAGAGGGTCAGCCTTAGATTTGGGAAGCAGTTAGTTCAAGACCAACAGTATGAGACATTGAAAAAAAGGACCTGGGTTCAAATCCTGGCTTTGCCACTTACTGTTTGGATGACGTTGGGGCCAGTTACTTCACCCCTCCGGGCCTCACTTTCTTCAACTGTAAAATGAGAGATTGGATTAAATGACCTTTAGCCTCCTTTCCAGTCATCTAAATCTATGATCCTATGACCTGGGGACTATACTGGCTTTGTGGCCAGTCACTTAAAGTGTGCCCACTTTGTGGGCAAGTCACTTAAATTCATAGTCCCTTAGGTGACTCATTAAGTTACTGAAGAATTGAGGATCTACATTAGAAGAAGGAATGTCCACACTGAGAACTCCCTGATAAGAAACCACACCCTCCTTCCTCCCCCAAACAAAGAAAATGAACAATCAATCAAACAAAAATCCTCTAAAGCCCAAACAAGCCAAACTGACCCCCCTATTTGTAGCCCAAGCCATTTCAATGGGATTGAAACTGAATGGTTACCAATCTGAAGACATTACATTACTGTCTCTCTGTGATAGGAGATGCCTGTTTATGGAGTCTTCTTTGAGGCTGACTTCACAGATTTTTATTTATTATTTTAGTAATAACAACTTCTATTTGTAGACACTTGTTGAATCCTTGGCTATGAGTTATTGTGCTATGCCTTCCTACTGGCAAAAAGAGTTATTAATAGATGCCCAGATTCAGTGAAGGAGCAGCTATTATTCAACAGATTCTTTAACTTGCATATGTAATGGATGTAGGAACTGGGGAACAAGGGCTGTCTGCAGTCATGTAAGCAGTGATTTTTGGCTGAATTGAAAAGATAAAGGTTTTCATCATATATTCTACATGTAATGTTGAAGACAGTCATGAGTACATATTGTTAAATATTTTGCAGTTTCAGTGAGAGAAGTCTAGATCTTTACTATATCTGAGAAATGTATCTGACAATTTCCCCGTTGGTTTTTTTGGGAGTCTATTTTATTATTAAAGCAATAATTCAATCTTCCTCCTGTTGTCTTTCTCTAGGCAGAAATAGGGTAGAGAAAACACAGATGTTTATCAGCTGACCCATTTTTGGGGGGGCCAAAATGTTTATGAAGGGTGAAGACAGCCCGAGTTCTATAGTGCTTCTCTTGCTTACCCCCAAATATGGTGAATTTATGCCTTTTTCAGTTAAAAAAAATTGTTCTCAAGTTATGTTAGACCTTCTTGAAGGCACGCCAGATATCATTCTCAGTTTATCAGGAAGCCTCACCCTATGGCCACTTAAATCTGTGAAGAGGTTGGCAAGAGATGGTGCTGTTCTTGTGGTAAATGTAAAAATGGATTTGTCCCACCTTTCTGTCCCATTGATATTTTGTAGTCAAGGGGACTACAGATAAATTAAAGGAGTCAGATAGTAACATAAATACATTTAGACTTAATTCTACCTCTTTAAAAACATGAGGATATTTTAGATCTTATATTGCAAATGTGGCTAATTTTGATCCTGGTTAAAATGCAAGCTGTCTTCCAGGTGAGATTGACAGCCTTTTAGGATTACAATATTCAAGGTCTATCAAAGAGATCTTCTCATTAATAGTGCTTTAGTCTTTGGGGTTAGGTGACGAGAGTCAGCGACTTTCATTCAATAAGAAGAGATTAATCCAAAAAGGCTGAGTACTTTCAATAATCATCTTTTCCCCTTTTGTGTGTGACATGAGTGGGTGATATGTTAGGGCTATCTGGGGAGGAAAGGAATAATTTGCCCGCCATAATCCAGTGGTCATGACCATGGTATTAATAAAATGTCTTATTTTGAGGGAATGCTTTTTCATTCTGAAATAATTTTCCATTTATTTGTTTTGTAGGAGAGGGCATTTTGCTATTACTAAATATAGACACTAGTGTTTTTCTTCTAGGAATTTTGTCATTAGAAAGTAAAACAAAAAGGAGAAAATACATTTACATCTATATCTATATCTATACCTATATGCACATGAAAATGTATATACATATACATACACGCATATATAATATGATACTATAAAACAAAACTGAATGACACTGACCTCATTAAACAATTGTGGCCACCTACACAAGGATACATAGCCCAGCTCTAAAGTAGATAACTTTCACTGAGACATAAGTCCCTTTCCCTCCTTCTCCCCTCCCCCTGCCAATCAGTTGTGAGTTCTTGGTGGACTTTCTTCATCATAATTAGAAAGCATTTTTCTTCTAATTAGCATGATGTGCTTTAAAGACTAGGCTTGATCTTTTAAGCACTCAACACCATCCCAAAGGTGCTCAAGAAGGATTTGTTGAATGAATGCAAAATTGAACAATAAAAAGATTAAAATCTTCATTGCTTCCTTCATACTCAATCTTTTCTATTACCTTAATTCATAGAAGGCCCTTAAGGGAATCTCTGGGTGTTAGAAAGATCGATGGTTCCTTAGTTCCTAGGGGTTTATTCTTTTTTCCTTAAACAGGAACAGAGAGAATGCTATTGATGGTATTTCCTTCTGATAAGATTTATTTTCCTTATCGACATATCAAGAATGAAAAATAACCAGCCATTATTGCTTTCAGATAATCCCGGATATTGCCTGTGGGAATGCCAGTTCCAATAATTCTTCTGGAGGCCGGCTGGTATCCTTTGAAGTTCCACAAAACACTTCAGTAAAGTAAGAATGTGGTTTTCTTTGCTTGGTTTTTGAGATGCCTGACTTTGTAATGATAGGTATCATAGAAATGCTGTGTTTGCTAAATTTTTAGAGGGGTCACTGAGTCTGTTGAGCAATTACTAGAAATTTTCAATAAAAAATGACCAGTAGAATTTCTTTTTTCTTTTTAGTGAGGCAATTGGGGTTAAGTGACTTGCCCAGAGTCACACAGCTAGGAAGTACTGTGTGTCTGAGGCCGGATTTGAACTCAGGTACTCCTGAATCCAGAGCCGGTGCACTATCTACCATGCCACCTAGCTGCCCTGACCCATAGCATTCTTAAGAGTGTCTGGTGGAATTTCAGGTTGGTTTATGAGAGAACACTAAATAAATATTTAATGGGTTAAAATATAAATGCTCTGCTTAGGATGTGTTTGTCCATGTAACCAATTTATTACTGAAAGATCTCTACAGTTACATGTGTAGGCATAGCCGATACCACCCAGGAAGCAGAGGAAGAAGTGTGATGTAATTTATTGTCTATACCTATGAAGTTGTTTGTGAGCTTCACAATAAGGCTAAGAATGCAGAAGACATCAGTCAAGATCCAGAGGCAACCATGAGAATTTTTCCCAATTATATTTGTCTTCAAAAAATATGTTGAGCCTTTAACAATTTCAATGGGTCATTGGGTCACTTAATATTTAGAGAATACCCAAATTGTAAATTGAAATATTGATCTTTCCCCGACCCAAAATAGATGAATGAAAATAGCAAGGAAACCCTTATCTTTGTAGAGGGCACTACCATCCTCACAGTCCTCCAAGTGTGTAACATTAGAGTCAGCCTTGACTCTTCCCTGGCTCTCATCCTCCACATTTATTCAGTCGCTAAGTTTATTAACAAAGTGGTGCTTGCATTGAGTCTGAAATGAAGTAAGAGATTTATGAGATGGAGGTGAGGAGGGATGGGGATAGCCAATGCAAAAAAAACCATGGGAGATGCACTATCTTGGGAAGAACAGAAAGTGTTGCTTGTCCAGAATTGCTGGGGAAACCTGGGAAGTAGTTTGACAGAAATTGGGTTCAGAACAACAACTTACACCATATATCACAGGATGCACTGTCTGGATACAAAACGTTATACTATTTAAAAAAAAAAGATGAGAAAACAAGCAGATCAGTTACCTTTAGCTATGGCTAAAGATAGTATTTTGGTCAAGAACAAACAAGGTATGGAAGCATTCCCCAAAGATAGCAATTTTAGTTATATGAAATTGGAGAGCTTTTATCCAAATAAAGTCATTACAACTAGAATATAGGGAGCTGTCATTTGGGAATCTGCTTTCTCCACTCGTATATCTACCACATAGTTTGGGCTCCCATAATCTCTTGTCCACACTATTGAAATAGTCTGCTTCCAGTCTTTCCCATGTCCATTCCATCTTCCATATTGCAGATGAACCCAGAAGAGTTAAGAGACTTTGCCAGGGTCATATAGCTAATGAATGCCAGAGAGAAAAGACATAGGTTTGAGTGCCACTCTAAGGCAGGGTTCCCTGGCCTTAGTATACTGCTCAAATTTGTATGCCATGCTATATATAATATTGTTGGCCACATGGCTTTGACCACACTACTTCATACATTCCCTTTTGAGTCCCTTTATGAAGGAAGTTGTAGCTTCTTGATTCTAAAGAAAATCGATTCAAATCCTTCCCACCTTATCCATTTTACACACTATAGCACTTGGATACCTTTCATGCCCCAAATCTGGAGTGTTCGGCTCTTTTTGATCAGAAGTTCTTTTTCATTTTTGAAAAGCCCTGAGATTTCTGTGGGTGGGTAGGTGGGGTGTAAATACTGGGAATTCTGCCAAATGGCGCTCAGGGGTGGAGTTAGAGTAGGAAATCTCTGGCTGACTGTGTTCCTTCCCTGACTAGAATCCAAATCCACTGAGCATATGTGGCAGCAGCCACTGGCTAGGAAATCTGTTGCTAGATGCTGACCTACTAGTTGGAAACTCCTGGGATAAATGTTTTATCCCTTAACATACAACTTGGAACCTTTTCATCTTCTAGCCTCAGTGAAATAAGGAATAACTAATTACTCTTATTTGAATATTATTATCTGTCATATGCTCTTTTTGAATAGCCTATAGCCCCCCATTCTAATTGTCCTAGTTCTTTTTAGTTTTTCCTAAAAAAGCTTTTATATTCTGACTCTTCAGATATTTTTATTGATCTTCCATGAACCAATTTGAAGCTCTGCCTGACCCTCTTAAATGATAATTATTTGAACTGATCACAGTGACTAGCTGACCAAGGCTTCATTATAATGGAAGTATTATTTCAAGGGTCTTATGTGTTCTATTTTTAAAAAATAGTTACCCTTCACTTAATATTTTATAATTTTTTGTACCATGTACTTACTTTAAGTAACTGTGATGTAGTGAAAAGAGCTCTCTGACCTAAGGCCAATTACATCATTTTGGTATTTCTTTGTCTATAAAATAAATTTAATAATAACTGTATTCTCTACATTATAGGGGCATTTTTAGGCTCAAATGTGATGAGCCATAAAGTGCTTTGTACACCCAAGAGGGGTACATAAAGGACAGCTTATTGTTATTTAAATTCTGGAAATTCTTTGTATGATGAATAATTATGGGAGTAACCTTTATATGAAAGGACATAATGCTTAGTTTACATTTCTTATTAAAATGGCTATTGAAAGCTTTCAAAAATTAAAGTAGTTTAGACCTAGATCTCCTAGACTGGGGGGTAGGGGGGGATCTGCAACCTCAAGGCTAAGTTTTACAGAACAAATCCTTTTATTAAGGGATTTGTTCTGTGAAGTTTGGATTTAGTCAAAGGGCCACACTTGAGGACCTAGAGGGCCACATGTGTCCTCGAGGCCGAAGGTTCCCCACCCCTTTCCTATAATAGAGGGTACTTTCTATGCTTTGAATGAGAATAGGAGATAGAACCTCAATTTTAATTTGTGGGAAGCCATGTAAAATAAATGAGTAAAATCGGTAACTGGATGGCTAGTTGCTTCTAATAATAGCAGTATTTGTATGGCCCTTTAAGGTTTTCAAAGAATTTTACAAGTAGTATTTCATTTTGTCCTGGCAACAACTCTGGGAGGGAGGTGCTATTATTATCCCCATTTCATAGATGAAGAAACTGAGGCAAAGCATTGGGACTCTCTTTGTCTTATCATCATCATCATCATCATCATCATTTTTTTTGGTAGTTTGATTGACTGATTCTTGAGATGGGTTTGATTTGTGGCTTACTTTTTCCTTTGCTTCTATTTTCAGGATTTGGAAAGATGCCACAGCATCTCTTATTTTGCTCTGGAAGGTCACAGCAACTGGATTTAAGCAATGCTCCCTTATTGATGGCAGAAGTGTTACTCTCCTCCAAGCGCTGGGTGGCCTCGTGCTCTCTGAGGAAATGCTTGCCTTGGGAAACAATTACTTTATTGGTGAGTGTATGGAAAGTTGCTTTTTCCTCCAATCCCAAGAAGCCGCTCCTTATAATTTTGCACTGTGTTGATTTAGTTATTAGAGAGCTTGGACATGTGTGACATCTATAATTGTCACCATTTCTCCTGTTTTGGGACAGAGGTAACTTATTAGATTAACATGTATTCCTAAAGTAACATTGCCAGTGTACATTCCTGATATTTATTTGAGAGACACTAAGTTTTGAGTGTATGTATATATTTGTGTGCGTGTGTTTGTCAGACTTTTGATAAATATTGAAAAAATATAAATATAAATTTATTTTTTTCTATTGGGATTCTGCCTAGCTAGTCATCCTTGGTGATATATAATCACAAATGACACCAAATTACCTTCTAGCTGTTTGTAATGGATTTGGGGTGGAGTAGGCAGAGATAATAACTCATCCCTCTCCCACTTGGCTCTAACCAGAATAGAGGGCCTTCAATAAGCCACATTGACTGGACTGAGAGTGCTTCATGTTTATTAATAGGAAAGGACCTCTTTGATTCCAATTTGACTTGTCATTTGGAAAAGGGAGTATGTGTGCCCCTCTACTGACTTTAAGGTATTCATTCTAAGTTCTGCCAAAAAATCAGATATTGCGTCCAAGTCTCAGAAGAGTAGAGTTGAGCTAGCTAGATCCTGGCATGTGACCTGATTTGAGGAGTTTAAGAATATAGTGGTCCTGGGATCAAGAGACCTGGATTCAGATCTCACTTCTGATCCTCACTAGTTGTGTGACTTTCTGGGTTAGCTGTCTAACCTCCTCTAGCTTCAGCTTCCTTACCTGTCAAATGAAGAGGTTGGACCGATCCGAACTCCATAGAACAAATCCTTTTGGATTCAGTCAAAGGGCCTCACTTGAGGACCCAGAGGGCCTCGAGGCTGCAGGTCCCCCACCCCTGGACTAGACGGCTTCTCATGCCCTCTCCTTCACTTCTGGATCTATGGACTATGATCCCTTCCCTCCCACTTTCTTCCGGGAAGGCAGCATATTAGAAGGTTGTTTCCTTTCTCTTTGAGATGAGCAGAAGAGCAGATTTTAGTTCTTCATTCTTCTGTCTCTTCTGCCTTCCTATTGAGCTCTGGAGTAGTTCCCTGCCTAGTCCTCTTTTTCTCAGAAGGCTTAAATAGGGATGAGAAGGTTTGGAATAGCTACTGTGGTGGGATAGAAAAAGATAGGGAGGAATAAAAGAATTGCCTTGCTCTGGTGAGGGACCACTTATAATTTTGTAACTTAATGACAGATACTATGCTGTATCTATTGCCAGAGTAGACAAGGTCTTATTCCTTTGGGAGAGCAACCAGGGAGTGATGACCTTGATGTTAGTGAGAAAGTAAGTGGAGTCAGGAAGGCATCTTGGTGAAAAGAGCCAGGGGAAAGAGCAATAGGAAGAAAGAGGAAGCCCGTAAAGCAGGTGGGATAGATAGGTAGACATGGAACCTCCCCCATGAGCCAACAGCTAAGAACTGCGGGATATGGCCCTTGTCTGACAAGGCAATCAGCCTGCAGAGGGGGATGTTCTGCCAAGGGGTATAAGGGAGAAACTATTTGGGCTTTCCTAAGGGTTTTTTTAGGCTAGTTCCCCTAAAAATAAACAAAAAGACACCCCCACATTTCTCCCACCTCCTACCATAAGTCAGAACATCGAAGTTTCTACCACATGGCTGAAATAAATACTTCACTGAACAGATATAATTTGGCTGTTAAGTCACATACCTGGGACCTCTTTGAGTCCTCCTAAAATGTAGCTTTGTTATGGAGGAACAGAAGAGACGCTTATATGTTTGGAGGCCTCACTATTCAACTGCTAATGGAAACTGTAAGTCAAATTGTGAAAATGATTTCCTTTTAGGCATACTCTGACTATTTATTGAAGGAGATTATAGTTGTGTGTATTTGAAGGCAGAATTTGGTTTTGAGATTGTAGCCTATAGCAATGCATTATTTCTTTCTAAATAATAATAAAATATAATAATCACTATTGACACTTCTTTGGTGATTTAAAGTTTGCAAAGCCTTTTATAGTCATTATTTTATTTGAGCCTAGGACAACACGCCGAGATAGGTATTATAGGTATCCATCCTCATTTTACAGATGAGGAAACTGAGATACAGAGAAAAATGATTTTCCCATGTATAAAATGAATGGTTATACATCTAATATCAGAATTTGAATCTGTCTTCCAACAAATAATAATAATAATGATGATGATGATAAGTCACAATTTTCTTATAAAAAGTATATAGCACATTTCCCTCGCAATAACCCAATAAAATAGTTTAGTCCTATTTTATGGATGAGAAAAGTAAGGTCTTCGATGTCTTAGCAATGTTTGTACTTAATAGACAATAGAGATACTGCTTTGTATTTTTTCTCTAATTGTATTGTGGATGTAGTCATAGTCCAGAGGGCGATATGGAATTTGAAAGGTAAAACTCCCCCTATGTCAAATTAAGAGTAAGTAACAGGGGGCTTCTGGGAAATCCTGCTCAAATGAAGCTCAGGATTCATGAAGATAAATCTTTTTGTAATAGAAGCCACTCCCACAAAAGTTTGACTTTAATTAAAGTTTGCATTTCCCTAATTTTTTAGGGGGAAAATCATTTTTTTACCCTTTAATTTACTAATACCTAAAATATGGAGAGAAAAAAAAAATCTCTAAAATGACCCTCTAGTCTGTGGTGCACTGAAAATCATTTGTAGATTTCTTAACTTCTTTTCTTTGGAAGCCAGTGATTCGAATTCTTTTTAATTTCTGATGCAGAACTTTCCAGGTGTTTCACGTAGCTTTGTCTTGGAGATCACAATCATCTTTAAAAAAAATAGATAAAAGCAGAAGGCAGTGTTGTTACAAGTTACCTCCTGTGAAGGCATGGCCGACTTCCCAACAAAGACAAATTGGCTACACCCACACACTGGGAGCTAATCCACAGTTTCTAAAATCATCTTTCTTATTTTAAAATTAACAAAATTAATTCTTTGTGATTAACATGGACTCCTTGCACTTTATATAGTAATATGTATTTAAGATACTTTATTACACTAAAAAAAAGGGTACTTCCTTTGCAATCCATTTTACATTTCTGGGATTTCAAAATTCTGCTGATTTAACTTTGTACCAGAATATTGTCTGGAAGTACAGTTACAATAGTAGGACTTTGCCTGATTGATGAGATGGAGGTGAGACTGAAGAGGCGATGAGTTGAATGTAAAATAGAATAAAAGTCTAGACTTCTATAACTGAGTCTCCCTTGTTGGTAATCAGTTTGGCTTTTTCATATTGTTAAGAAAATGTATTTGTCAACCTTCTACCCACATGGAAGGTTGTCTCTAATTGTACATGGTAAAGGGAAAGTAAGGGAAAGGGAATAAGCATTTATATATCGCCTACCATGTGCATGCTAAGTGCTTTACAGTATCTCATCTGATCCTTATAGCAACTCTGCAAGGTTAGGTGCTGTTTCATAACCATTTTATAGATGAGGAAACTGAGGCAGGAAGCGGTTAAATGACTTGCCCAGGGTCACACAGCTAGAAATGTCAGGATTTGAACTTGAGTCTTCTTGACTCCCTAGGTCTTTCTAGTGGACCACTAGTTACCTCTCAATGAATTGTGTAGGGTGTAGGCATACACAGAGAAGATCTGGTAATAATAATAATTATGATGATGATATTAACTGAAATTCATGTAGCACTTTGAGTTGTTAAATGCTTTACACATATTTGCCCCTTTGTAAAATTGATGTCATGATTACCCTTTTTTATGGCTGAAGAAACTTGGGCTTGGGGAGGTTGTGACAGACCTTCCCTAAGGTCACACCTCTAGTAAGTGTCTGAAGGAAGATTTGAATTCATGTCTTTCTGACTCAAAGATATTCATACTACTCAAGGTGTCCCAAAAGTCTTAGTGCAATAGCGTAAACCTGCTTAAACCATGGGTACTGCGTAGATCCAAGGCAAGAGGAGTATTTGTAAGGTTTTTATTATTAGCTCTGTCATTCCTACTGTCGGGACTTCCCAGGGACACAGATCAGTTTGGATAATCAATGATGTAAATATTTAGAACACTTTTATTCACTACTTAGGGTTCAATATATGAAGTAAGCTCGTCAGTGGGCATCCCACTCATCTAAAGCTCAAATTTGTTCGTCCTTTTCAGAACACCTCCTCCAAGCAGATACCCCATTATCATCCCTTCTCCTCCTCCTCCTGTTCACCCTTCTCCTCCTCCTCTTCCTCTTTCCTCCTCTTCACTTAGCCCTGAGCTGATCCATTTCATCAGAGGGTCACACTTCTTTATCAAAAAATGCAGTTGGTAATGAACCAGTGAACACTCCTAGTTCATAGGATTCTTAGTATTAAGTTTTCCTGCAAACAGAAAGGTGAGGACGAATGGTGTACACTGTCAGCTTATCTCTTATCTCTGACCTGCTTCATATTAAAGATCCCTGGGCAGGGGAGGGGTCTCCCTGCCCCTGAAAATTCTGAATCTTTATCCCATTGTAATACTCAAAAATCCTCTATGTTCATAAGAGGTCCTTTTCTTCTTCTAACAGTAATGAGGGGAAAACCATTGGGAGTCTGACATTTAGCTTTTGGAATGAGTGAGAGGAGATTATCTCCTTATAGGTAGAATTCTGCCAGCCTCCCCGAGGGGTAGCTACAGATCCTAAGGAATCCTATTAGGGAGTCACAGATTCAGAGTTAGGAGGATACTTAGAGGTCATCTCATTCCCTAATTGGGAAGTGGTGGCCCACAGCTGCTACATGATTTGTCTGAGGCCACAGAGATAATCAGCTACAGAGCTGGGATTTGACCCCAAGGCCCTCTGGCTCCAAAACTCTGCTCTTTCTCTAGTCCAAGCTCCTAAAAGTTTAGTGCTTTAGAGGCTGAATGGGGGCTCCAGGAGGCTTACCCCCAAATCAGTTCTATATAAGCAATGACACCCACCCCTACTCAAGGTTCTAGTAAA